GAAGAACCATAAGATGGTAAACCATTTCCTACATTTTGAGACTGCATAAACCTATTGGAATCCACACGTCCCTCGTAACTGCTTTCATTGCCACCATAACCCTGGTAACCGCCAGAGCCACCACCAAACATGGATCGGCCAACCCCTCCGGGATTAGCATCTTTAGGAAGAGCACGCTTTACTTCAACTTGCTTACCGTTCAAATCATGGAAAGTCTTGTGCAACACACGGTCTACAGCGTCTTCAGCGTCGAAAGAAACAAATCCAAACCCACGAGGACGGTTGGTAGTCTGGTCATGCATGATTACAACATCAGCCACAGGTCCATAAACTTCAAAGTAGTGACGAAACTCTTCATCTGTCAAAGTAGGTGGCAAGCCTCCAACAAAGATCTTCTTGGTTTTAGTGAAAGCATCACCTCCAGAACTTCTAGATGCATTAAGGTTCCCAGATCTTCCACCAGAGACTTGCTGCTCCTCTCTTGACATAGCTCTCTTCACATCAACCTAAACCACAACCAAAAATCAATAAATCTCAGGAAAAACCTCCAAGAATCATCATTAATCAACTTCAACCAAAGCAAGAACATAGCACAACACAAAATATATACAAATGTTCTCAAATTTTCCCCATACACCAAATCAATTTTCAGTACCACTAATCCCTACGAAACTCAACAAAAGTGGAGAAATTTAGGCATAAGAGAGGAATAATAACCTCTCTAGTATCAATGTGATGTTTTTCTTGAAGAACCCTATCGAGAACAGAAGGATCCGCGAAGATAACAAAACCAAAACCCCTAGGTCGGCCAGTGAGCTTGTCTCTCATTACAATAGCCTGAGAAACCTCTCCAAAGTTACTGAAATGTTCTCTTAGCTTGTCTTCATCGGTTTCCCATGAAATACCACCGATAAAAAGCTTTCCTTGATCCGAATCCATGAATACACACACACACTCTCTTTTACCTCACTTTCTTCAAACCCAGAATCAAATAAAATCCCTTTCAATCTCAAAATCACGAAAAACCTCTGAAACTCGAAGAAATTACGAAACTTTTCGAGAAGAATCAATGAGGTCGACAGAGAGAAAGGAATGGTTGTAGCCGATTTG